ATATATATATATTGCTTTGTGTCTGTGCAGCCGCAAGAAGGAGAAGAGCGCTCAGAAGAAATCCAAAAAAAATAAAAAACACAAAAAGCAGAAAAAAGAGAAAAAACAAAAAAAGAAAAAAGAAAAAGAAGATGCAGATGGTGCGTCCCGCTGGCTTCCTAGGGTTTGCTAGGGTTTGCTAGGGTTTACTAGGGTTTAGGGTTTACTGGGGTTTAGTATTACGGGCTTAGGGTCTGGATTGCAGCGTGTCTGTATGCCTTTCATGGCTGTATGAAAGCAACTTGAACAAGAGTCGCTGTCCCTAGGGTTTATTAGTGTTTACTAGGGTTTATTAGGGTTTGCTAGGGTTTATTAGGGTTCACTAGGGTTTATTAGGGTTTACTAGGGTTTATTAGGGTTCACTAGGGTTTATTAGGGTGTACTAGGGTTTACTAGGGTTTATTAGGGTTTACTAGGGTTTATTAGGGTTTATTAGGGCTTATTAGGGTTTACTAGGGTTTATTAGGGTTTGCTAGGGCTTATTAGTGTTTCCTAGGGTTTATTAGTGTATCCTAGGGCTTGCTAGGGTTTATTATGGTTTGCTAGGGTTTAGAATTGCATGCATGCATGCATGCATGCATGCATGCATTTATGTGTACAGGTGGGGCTTTTGGGGCTGTGGGCGATCGGTGGGGTCGCTACGGGGTAATTCACGAGACAGACATGTGGAAGAAACGGCCTGAGTTTACTCTTTGGCTTTTAGAAGTCAAAGACATCAACATCGAAGCCTTATCTAACTGGGTGAGTCAGCGAACACCTGTACGTACACCCCAAATGCATGCATGAATCCGTTTGCATGTATGCATGCGTTTGTATGCATGCATGCATGCATGTATGCATGCAAACTCATGCTGCAAACGCATGTATGCGAATGCATGCAATTGCATCCAAATAGTGAGCAGGTGTACGTACACCCCAACTGCATGCAAATGCATGCATGCGAGTGCATGCAAATATCTGCTTTGGGGACTCTAGTGGGGTGTCTACTGCCGACTTTGTTTTGTCTTCTTTGTGTTTCTCCTGAAGGGGCTGGGCCTAGAGTTTAGGATTTTGTCTGTATGCTTGTTTTGTTGTTTTATTATTTTACTCTTTTTTTGTTTGTTTGTTTGACTGTTTATTTGTTTCTATTTGTTTTTTTTCTTCGTTTATCCGTTCATTTGCTTGTGTGTGGCTTGCGGTGTCTGTTTGTTTTGTTTGTTTGTTAAATTGCTTGCATTGGTTTGTTTGCCTATTTATGTCTATGTTTGTTTATTATTTATTTGTTTGTTTGTTTGTCTCCGCGTGTATTTGTTGTTTGTCTGCGTTTGCTTATTGACGATATATATATATATATATATATGTTTGTTTCTAATTACTATATTCTCCATGTATGTATCTCAATTATTTATTTTTTTATTGTCTTCTTTTGTCTCCTCTTCAGGAAGAAAAGAAGTATGTATTAATATTTATTATTTATTTATTTATTTACTGTCTCCTTTTGTCTCCTCTTCAGGAAGAGAAGAAGCTGTTTAGTGATTTTGCTGAGGATTTTAATACGGCTTCGTTTCCCCACAAGAAATATTATAACTTAGAATTGTGGGAAGCAGAAGAACGCGCAAAAGCAGTCAGCTGTCTCTTTTCAACTGTCTCTTTTCTTTTGTCTCTTCTTCTTTTGTCTCATTTCTTTTGTCTCTTTTTGTTTGTCTCCCTTCTTTTGTCTCTTCTTCTTCTGTCTCTTTTTGTTTGTCTCCCTTCTTTTGTCTCTTCTTCTTCTGTCTCTTCTTCCTTTGTCTCTTTTCTTTTGTCCCTTCTTCTTTTGTCCCTTCTTCTTTTGTCCCCTCTTCTTTTGTCTCTTTTTGTTTGTCTTTTTTCTTTTGTCTCTTTTATTGCCACCTCACGATAGAAGGGGGCAGGCGCAGCAACGCAGTGTCTGTCTCCTCCCCCTCTATTACACCTTAGCACTCCCTAGGTATATGAGATTAGGGTTTAGGGTTTAGGGCTTAGGGTTTAGGGTTTGGGGTTCTGTACCGCGGGGCCCAGCACTTGTTGGGTGTCTCCTTTTCTCCTCCTCTTCCTGCTGTCTCCTCAGGCTCAGGCAGCTTCAGTGCGGAAAGAAATGACTGAGTTTAATGATGAAGCTCAGAGAATGTACGTAGTGGGGGGAGAAGGGGGGAGGGAAGCTCCTCAGTGTCTCTAGCTGTCTCCTCTGTATCTCAAGCTGTCTCCTTAGCACCTCTTATTCTTGCCTCAGCTCCTCTTGCTGTCTCCTCAGCATCTATTGCTGTCTCCTCAGCATCCAAGTGTCTCCTCAGCACCTCTAGCTGTCCCCTCAGCATCACTATCTGCCTTCTAGCCATCTCTAGCTGTCTCCTCAGCACCTCTAGGTGTCTCCAGAGCGTCTTTCGTTGTCTCCTCAACCTCTTCCTGTCTTTGCTTCTGCTGCTGCTGACGCGTCTGCTGCTGCTGCTGCTGCTGTTCAGGCGGGAGATAAAGAAGCTGCGAGAAGAAAGGAGACGGATGGCGACGGCCCAAGAGCTTGAGCTCCTGCGAAGAGACAGAGAAAAGGTAAGGAGACCAAGGAGACAAAAGATACAAAGGAGACAGCATGCGGTGTCTCCGGAGACAGCAAGCCCCACACTGAAAGTAGAAGTGCAGCTCGCACAGATCCAAACGTTAGCGGTAGCAGCAACAGCAGCAGCAGCATCATCATCTGTACCAGCTGGAGCAGCAGCACGGTTAGCAGCAGCATTAGCAGCAGCAGCACTAGCAGCAGCAGCAGCAGGTTGTTGCTGTGTGTGCGTGTTTGTTGCTGTGTCTCTTCAGGTGATAGACATGAGGGAGCAGCGTCTCCTCGCCTCCAAAGTGGAGACACTGTATAAAGCTGGGCGAAACGCAGAGGCAGAGGCCTTAGCAGAGCGTCTGAAGCCAGACACCTGAGTTTGAGGTGTATAGGCAGCTCTTGTGCTCCTGTACAGAAGCGAGGAGAACTCCTCCTCTGTCTCCTTCCTGCTGAGGGGCTTTTTGTTTCTTTCAAGCTAAAGCAATCGCTCATGTCTCCTTTTAGAGACACAAAGTCTCAGGGAGCTGCGGAGACACCGCACAGTTTGCTGCATATACACCCCAGCGCTGCCTATACACCTGAGTCGTCTCTGGAAAGGCTGCAGCAGGAGTTGTCTCCTCCTAATTCATAAACAAAGCAGCCCTGTCTCGTGGATGTTTTTTAGGGGAACTCACCGGGGAGCTGCCTGTACACCGCAGGGCTCTGAAGGGCCGCTCGCTGTGGGGTGTCTCTGTTCTATAAAGCTGCAGGCAATACAGCAGATGTCTCCTCTCCACTGTACGCCTCAACTGTATGTGTGCGTACATATATATATATATATATATACATCTATCTATATATATGTTGTATGTAAGAAAGCCCCTGAG